AGAGTGAATGGTTGTTTGTCTCGTTTGTCTCTATGTGTCCCTGTGATGGACTGGAGACCTGTCCAGGTGTCCCTCGCCCCTCTCACAGTGACTGCTGGATATGGGCACCAGTGACCCCTGCAACCTAAAACCAAAGAAGTGGATAAAGATAATGAATGGATGGATGAATGGATGGATGGATGGATGGATGGATGTTGATTGGTTTGATCGCCAGTTCTTGCATACAACAGAAGTCCTTGGGAACCTATATGACCTCTGTATTATTGTCTGTGAATTTTCCATTTACCTGGTTCTTTACAGCCTTTGACCGTAAGACAATGAGAACCTTAGTTTTGCAACGAGACTCGACGTATTCATCATTTATTTAACAAGATCAACGGGGAAATGCTGAAGCAATGTGTGAAACATCAGGTCCACCCTATCATTTATTTCTTTGTAAAACCACGTGGCTTAATGGAACTCCAGATCTGGTACATGAACTTAATTTCACATCATGGTAAAGACAGTTGGTCCATTTGTTTCATGTCTTTGTCCACGCCTCTCTTGGCTCTGATCAGAGCTTTTCAGTTGGGTTATCTGAACTTCAGGTCAACTTTTCATCCCTTCAGCTTGAGTTTGACTGATCTTCATATCCAGCTGCATGGCCCAACTCGAGTCAAACTTAGATTTTCATAGTTGGCTTTACTCCATCGTGGTGACAATTCGTAAGATAAATCTTTGATGGTATGTGGATTTTTTGAAACGCAGCCCATGCTGCTGTGAACTATGGGTAATCATCTCCCGTTGGTCCTATTGTTCCAACGGACATTGTTTTGGAAGTGTTGTGGTTCATTCAGATGAAACTTTACAAAAGTAATTTGTACTACCATGTTCCTGTAGAGAGAAGAGGCTTCTCCGACAGTCGTAAACAAGCCACACTTGTAGAGGCTTTAAGTGTCCTGCCATAAACCTTAACCTACAACCTGCTGACCGAGGCTGCAGAGTCGTTTCTCATCGTTGCATGGTCTGACCTGGTGAATTCACTGGAACGTGGTGAACACTGGCAGCCGTATGAAATGGTTTTCACTTGTGAATAATCATTTTACACCAAACACTTTGTAAATGACCTTTGACCCTCCCCAGATTGATGGGCAGCAACAGTCTCTTAGGTCATTGCTGATGTCTTTTCTTCTTGTCACTGTGGTCACACATACCTGTCCGATCAGCTACACCTGCCTGAAACCGAACCTCTTTGACAGCAGCACGGCTGGATGCAGTTTGTCCACATTCTGTTTCTTAGTTGTGACTAATTTTTGAACAAATGATAAAAAGGTGTTGAAGTTCATGATTTAGTCAGTTACTTCAGTTTAAAAACTAAAAGGGGCTTTATGATTTTTAATGTGCTCTGAGAATAGAAAGCATTGTTACGTTCCTAATACTACGACTTTGTACACAAATATAACCACACAGTAACACAGCTATGAGTATCATTTGGTACTTGATACTCAAAAAGGTACTTTGAACTCCTCAAGTCTAGGCACACCGGTCTGCACCTTTGTTCTATTATTGATGAGAAGCTCCAAACCTTTGGTAGAAAGGAGTCCGTGTATCAGACAGCTTAACGTTGACTTCATGTATTTTGTGTTGTTGCAGGAGCAATCAGCTCTGACCTGGGCAGGAACACAAGCTCAGTTTTTCATGTGATCCTGAAGCCCGTCACCACATTTTTCTTCAAGAACACCACCCAAGGATGTCAGACCACCCTGCACTGTACTCTGCAGGAGGGCATCGAACATCTCAGCGGGCGTTACTTCTCCAACTGCACAGTGAGAGAACTCTACGCTAAAGCCAAGGATGATGCAGCATCAAGGAAGCTGTGGGAGATCAGTGAGAGGTTCTGTGGCCTTCCATGAACAAAGCTTCTTGTTAAAATGTTGATCCTGACTCCCCGGCTTTTCGGTCAGGTGTTAATATGCGCAGGTATTGGCAAGAACCTTGCTTGTCATACCCAAAGGTAAACTTCAGCTAAAGATGAAGCAAGTAATCTAGGGTTAAGATCTGAAAAGTACTACAGTACCTTAATCCATTTACAATGATCAAACAAACAGGAAAGCCAGTGGTTCCCGACCCTGGTCCCTGAGGAACACCACCCTGCATGTTTTAGTTGTTCATCTGCTCCATCACACCTACTTTAAATGAAAGGTGATTAACAGATTTTTGCCGAATGTAAGGAAGTAATTAAACTACTGAATCAACGTGATGGAGCAGAGGAACAACTCAAACCTGAAGGATGGAGTTCCTCAGGGACCTGGATTGGGAACCACTGCAATCTAAACCACTTTGGTGCTGAAGTTTTACACCAGTGTTCAGATTTCTGTTCAGTGTGAACTCTTTGATGTAACTATTTTATGTATCACGTGTTGTGTTTTATACATTGGTCAAAGTAATAAAAGTCTAGTCAAATGTTTATTTTAACATTTGATGGTTTTGTTTGTCCGTTATAGATCAATAACTAATGAGTTAGTGCATCGAATGGTTTTTAAAAGACTGAAAAGGGAGCCTGAAACTGACACCCGTCCATGGAAAATCACCACTCAGAGTTCTCTTCAACTGGTTTCACAGGTTTGGTGGAGTTAAAGGACTGGGTGGGGAGTCAACACGTCAGCTCACACTTTAATGTGATTAATGCACAACTGTTCACACGATTCAAACATCCTAATGCTAATCAAGCTGAATTACTTTATTTAGATTTTAGCTAACATTGTTTCATTCAGAAAAATACGAAACCATCCATTCAGGCGTGATTTTAATCCACAGGTACAAATTACATCAAACTCAAAACATGCAGCATGTTTCTACTAGTTTTGTTCAATGTGTTTTAAGATTAAAACAAAAAGTATGAGTTTCAAACAAACGCAAAAAGACATTTTCAACAAATAGTTCAGAATGTCAGTGGAAAACTACCACAGCGCCTTCACCCCGACTCACAGAAGCTCAAAGCTCATGGATGACGGTGTTTTAAGCTTCAACACACCTGATTCAAATAACTACATTACCTTCTCAAAGCGTCATGAAGTTTATGAGAAGTCTGTCAATGACTCGCTCATTTCAGTCACAATTAGAACTTGAAGACTGAGCAACACATTTGCAGGATTAGAATTAGCTGTAGCAGCATTAGCATCATGAATTTAGCATTAACTGTTGTAGAATCATTGTTAAACTATCAGTAATTTATCTAGCATGCGTAGCATCAGCAGTAGGGTTTATGTCAGCTCACTGCACATTAACATCATTCTGCCATACGTCCGTCAGGACTCTGAAAGCTCAACTGTGGCCACAGGCATCATCACCTTTTGTTTCCCTCTTTCCACTAAAACGGTTTCCCTGATCAAATCACTCAAAGTCTGAAGAATAACAAAGAAAACTGCTGATGATGTCAGAAGAGAAAACCACACCAAGAATTTAGATCCATCACCTCTCCTGTGGTTAATCCTGCCAGTCTCTGTCTCCCCAAGTCAACAATAAGGTGGTGGATACTATCAGGAGATTCATGCTCCTTTTCCTTTAGTACCAGTACAGCACGGTTCGGCTCGGTACAGTACACCTTGTGTTTCCATTATACTTTCAGTAACGGTTCTAGTGGGCGGGTTCAGGGTTCAAATTGACAGCACGCTCCTCACCAGCTGCTGGTGGTGGTGAGACCCTGAAACAGGTTTCAGTACGGGGTGAGAATTTATTTTGAAGTTATGGTAAATGACAAAGAATACAGATTATTAAAATGATCAAATTAAACTATTTATATATATATATAGTTTAATTCTTGTTTTGTGATTTGTTCATCTGTGGGTTAGAATAAAGTTGAACTAAAGGCCGTATCAAACATGTCTGAGGGAAATATTCCTGAGAGATCCAATGATTTTGTGTCTTTTTATGAGTTTTCAGCTGAGTTAACTTTAATTAACAGATTAATTAATAAAGTCATTAAAGTAAAAACAGGATTTCATGATAAAGTCAGCACAGTTTTTATTTTTTAAATCTTCACTGACAAATGGACTGTGGACTGCACCTATACAGCTCCTTTCTGTCTTATCAAGACACTCAAAGCTCTTTACAACAATCTGTGCCTCATGTACCCGTTCATACAGCTCTATACTAGATCTCTACAAAGCTGATTGAACTAATCATTGTAATGAGATTAATCAGAGCTTTATCAGATTCAGACACTGATGGACACACGTCAGAGGCAGTGAGGGGTTCAGTGTCTTGCCCAGGGACACTTCAGCATGTGACTGCTGGTGGATTCGAACCCCCAACTCTTGCACTGGAGGACGACTGCTCTAACCACTCAGCCACAGCCGCCCCCCAAAACCATTATTTGTTTTAGTACATAAAATGTTATTAATAATCGTTTCCACCCTCCGTCCCAGACCCGTCTCGGTCCGTCCCTGCCGACTTGGACTCGGGGACCGGCCTCAGGCGCTCCTGCGGCTCATGATCCTCGGTGGTGAGCAGCGGAGCTCGGAGCCCACAGGAGCGCACGAGGCCGGCCCGAGGCCCTGAGGAGGATGCACCTCTCAACCTTCTCTTTGTTTACGGGACTAACAGCACCTAATGTGCTGACCTGAAGGAGAGGGACCTACAGCTGGAGCACGGTGCAGAGATCCTGCTGGGTGCGACCGTGAAGGCACAGCTTGTCATGACTGCACACGGAGTGACAAACTGTCACACCAGTTAGACATTTTTTATTTCACACTCTTTAAAAATCATGTTGAACAGGTTGTCCAAAGCTCTGAAAGCACCAACATGACTGAACAAGGAAAGCGCTGGGTAGTTGTGAACAGTTCTGTGAGTGTGTGCTATGAAACCGGTCTTCACAGCACAATGGATGATAACTCTGTGGGTTAAAGGCGCCGCTGACTCACCGACTGCACAGATTCAACCTGTCACCTATTATCTGTAACTGCTGTGGTCAAAAAATGTTGCATGCCAACATGAAAGTCTCGACAGTTACAATCAAATTAATCTCGCCTTAAATGTTGCACTGACAAACCCAGTCTCAGATAAAGTGGCATTCCAACACAACGCTGGGAAAAGCTGCTTAGTCACAATGACGAACCCAACAGGTTCGACTGGTCTGTTACCTTTCTAAGAAAGAAAGCGTGACGGATGTTGTAATGTGAGCTGCGGCTCCTTTCTGAAGAAAAATCAATTATTAACGCTGTTGATACAGAACACACTATTAACGTAGAAATTCTGATTCAGCAATTAAATTAAATTAATCCAGATGTTTTCTTCTGTTGGTTTTTCATCATCTAAACACTTACGGACACTTTGAGCTGTTAAAACTATTCAATCATTAAAATATTCATTTAACTGAGGATATTTCTAATGTTTATACTTTTTAAACTGTTTAACTTTATTCTAATATTTTTTGTCACTGAAATTAAAATTGTTTTTAGATTCTTTAAAAAACTTTGTTCTTTTTCAAATGCTTCATCCTAAAAACTCCACATAAACTTTAAGACACTGGACTACTGTAAAAAAAAAAAAAAAGATTAGACTTCTTGATATTTTGTACCAGTTCCTTGAAATGGCTGAATATTTCCAACCAGTTCATCTTGTGTGAACTCAGTTCTCCTACAGTGTATGACGTTATAGGTCACATGACACGGTCTCCTCACAAAGTTCAGTCAGGTCCTCTGGATGGTTTCTTCGTGTTGAAACGTTTTGTCTTTCATCCAAAAGACTTCATCAGTCCAAGGAGCCACAATAAACTCAGTCCCATAAGAATCACACTCACATAGAGGGCCAACCAGTTTGATGAAGAGAAGATGGTTTCTGGAGTCGGCCCTCTCCCCGGCCGACTCGTCTGAGGCCGCCATGGCCAAAGTGGTTCAAAACATCTTATCATCAAACTGGTCACTATGTGTGAGGTCCGGCTGCAGCGCTCGGTTTTTAATTATTTTTACACGAGTCGGATCTTCGACGCGACCTGTCATTCAGTCCAGCAGGCAAGTCAGCATCTGACCAACTGGTGACCTGAATTTGTCCCAAAGGTAAACGGCCCTGACCTGCAGGAGCCACACTGGGAGAAATCCTCAGGGAAATTAATGGTTTGACGTTGTCAGTGGGGAACATGTAGCTTTTCATACGAGTGTTACCCTGAGCGTTTAGAACGTGGAGGACAGGTTATTCCATTTCAAAAACTAAACGGACCACGAGCAGCTGAATACAACAGGAAGTACCGCGTGTTCATCTGTACAAAGGTAACTTCAGGTAAATCCTCCATTTTCTGTCTTAATTACATTGTATGCTTAGTGTTTAAATTAAAGTTAACGCTGAAAGCTAGTTGTGTTTCGTTTTGTGTGTTTTATATGTACATGTTGTAACTTCTGGCATCAGTTTTTGTTAAAACTAAACTGATTTTGTATCAATTCAACCTTTATTTCTACAGGTGAATCCCACTGAGCCTCTGGGACTCATTTACAAGAGAGACCTGGTTTTTTTACCACAGAGTGAGGACAACAGTGGACAACAACAACGACGACAATAGACAATCATAAAAGAGGCACACAAATTAATTATTATTTTTTTCTAAACAAGTTAAAATAAAATGGCTACCAAAGGGGAAAAAGTAGTGAAAAAACAGGTAGACTGTAAGGCGGTGTAGAAAACTAAAAACAGGAACATGTTTCATAGGTTGTGTAATGTAAAATTTAAATCTTACATATTGAATTTCACTGTGAGTTCTTGCCCTGTGTTGTTCTGAGGCATGAAACCGTCCACTGCAGCAACTATTTTAAGTTATCAGTAGCTTAGAATTGATTGTTATTATTATTAATCTTTATTTTACACAGACATGCATATGGTCTGATTGGTAACTCTGGACTGACCCTGGGTGTGACTGAGAGAGTTGTTGTCTCTGTGTCCCTGCGATGGACTGGAGACCTGTCCAGGGTGTCCCCCGCCTCTCACACAGTGATGGCTGGACATGGGCACCAGGCTGGGCGATATGGACCAAATTTAATATTTCCATATTTTTAAGGTAAATTGTGATATACAATATAAATCTCAATATTCAAACATCTGCTAAGTTCATGGCACAAACCATTGCAATTCACTTCAATTCAGTTTATTTCTATAGCGCTAAATCACAACAAGTTGTCTCAGGGACTTTACAGGAACATTCACATAAATAAAAGCCAGTTAGTAAAGTTCTCTATCTAACGCAGACATGTTCCTGTTTTTAGTTTTCTACATCACTTTACAATGGAGCTGTTTGTGTTTCATTTTTAATATAATTTTCTTCTATTTATTTTTTCAGTTTATATGTTTTCTTTTATTATCGTCTACTGATGTCATTGTTGTCTACTGTTTTCATCTTTCTTTGTTAAAAACTGGTCTCTCTTGTAAATGAGTCCCCGAGGCTCAACGAGACTAACCTGTATTA